TCCCATTCTTCGTTTTCCTTTTGCAGTCGACTTTTGACCCTTCGAACCAAACCCAAAATTCGATCAACCATCCATAGAAGCGTTTAGAAAACGAAGTCAATGATTTATACCTTCACACAATAATTAGAAATAATGGCTCTCGTTTGTTCCTACGAATTTTTCTTGGATACGAACTACGAAACTGTTCCTGTTGTGGGAGAATTAATATGGAAAATAAACCACTCTAAACTACGATTTGAATACGGGGTGAGCTTTATTAAGGTTCACAAATTTAACAAATGCATAATGCGTTTGGAAGACGTCACCAACTGAACTGCACGCCCTGATAATTTTTCCAACGATCTTACCCTTCTGTTTAACCCTTTCGCTACGGGCGGGTTCTCCACTGCGGCACTTCCACTGAACGGAGTGGAGAAACAAATAATGCAAAACAAAATACTATCAATATATGTCCAGAGTGCTTAACTTAGCCTAATAGATTGCACTTATGCAAAACAGTTAGTCGGCCGCAATACCTCAGTGGCATCTTTTGGCGGGCCACTATAGTGGTCCGTAGTACCTCAGTGTTATCTTATGATAGGCCACTATAGTGGTCCGTAGTACCTCAGTGTTATCTTATGGTAGGCCACTATAGTGGTCCGTAGTACCTCAGTATTATCTTATGGTAGGCCACTATAGTGGCCCATAGTAGCGAAAGGGTTAAAATAAGGACAGCAGGCTTATCTTTCCTGGAAAAACTGCCAGGCCAAGAGAAAGTCTCATGACTTTCTCAAATACAAGGCCACATGCTAAATTTAAGGTTCGACACTAGAACCCTATCATAAAAAATAATTTCAAACATCTTTCCAATCGTAACAAAACCATGGCAGCGACGAAGTCGCTACACTATAAATGAAGACATTTGTCTTTTGCTAGTTTTAGGATACCGCGTGTCCCACTGGCAAAACTATTTGGTCCCATCACGGCCATCTCGCTGCTCTTATTTTTCCCGTTGTACAACCTTGTCCCCGGAGATCCTCGGTGAAGATCTTGACAAGCTTGCGCTTACAAAGACTGCGGGGAATTCCATTTTAAACCGAGACCGCTTTTAGCGCGCCTTAACTTCGTCCCCGAACTTTCTTTCGCGCGCGTTTGAAATTGTAATGCCGTGATCCGTCTCCGTGAACCACGTCTCTTGCCCCATTTCGTCATTCAGCGACAACGAGATCACGTCGCGCGCCGATTCACAAATGCAAAATAATGTGTTCACTAGTTTACAGATAATATGTTTCTATCCTTGGATTCAATCGATCTGAGTCAACAGTTCTGTGCAAATAATTTTTATCCATCGTTAATTAGAATCGCAGACATGTTTTATATAAAATAATGTGTGATAGAGGGCGTTCATTCATCTAGTTTATCGTTTCATTAGATTTACCTATTAACAAATTGTTCATGTTAGTCTCCTAGAGAAAATGTTGTTTATTATAAAAAAGAGAATCGTTGTCGTGAAACGTTGAGAGTCGTCAAATGTCGAATTCAGTAATGAAATGTACTGCGGTGAGTCGAGTCGTAGTCGTGTCGTTAGCGTTGAAATATAATATCGCGTCGGAATACGTTTAAAGTGCAAGAATACGAATTATCGAAACATTACAACACTTAAAATTAGTATTTATAATAGTTACGGTTAGTTACGGTTCATAAAATCTATTTCAATTGTATACCCGTTCCCAAATAAAATCCCACAATAATAATAGAAAGCCGTGGAATTAATTTCGTCGACACGGAAAATGAGAGGCGTGTACTGTAAAGTTTTGTAATTAACGTTCGCGTGACTGGTATCGCATTAATCAGCTGATATCGCGCTCCGACTGGTAATTATAAGCAAAGGTGGAACGTTTTAAAAAAATGTTTTTGTCGTATAATAAAGATTGAACGCGGGAGGAGAAGAATGCCTGCGAGCCGCTATCACGATGTAATTAATCTTGTTGAAACTAACTGTTCGATGAAACAATTCTGACGGAACAATACAGCGGCGAGTGTTCTTGAAGGAGGGAATCAGATAGGAGATTGTTTCGACACCGCTGAGTCAGACCCGTAGCAAATCTGTGATAAGATAATCCGTGGAATCAGAATCGCATTCAAAATTCTGTCCTCGTCCTTGGGTTAGGCGAAACGAGGCCCGGGGATGAACTTTGCCCAGGGACAAATATAATTTTTCACCGGGAATTATGCGGTCACGGCTAACCGTTCATGAGAAAGACTTTATTCGCGAAGGGACGCGGCCCCGTTTTCCAGTCGTTCTCTCCTTACTTCACAATATCGAATGTACGAGTCGTTAGCCGTTCGAAATTCCCGTCACGATTATTCCTCTCGTGCCATAAATTTCACTTTATTTCGTATGTTGAACGTGTTCACTGCGAGATGTTACAATTGATGCTCTGTTGACGCGCAACTCTGCCAACAGAATTTATTCCCGCCACGTTATTTCCGTTTGTTTTCTGATACTAATACGACGATGAGAAAAACCGATGAATTTTATTTACATAAATGCAATTCCGATCCCGAGATTCCGAGAGAATTAGCGTCCCCGTCTGACCACGCTTGACCTGTTCTACTTGCACGCCAGGATTTTCCGACGGCCGGCTACAATAATAAAAACGAAGACGTAAAGACTTTTCAAAATGGCAATATTTTCAAGACGAACGTGAATATCCTGAAATTTTTTTCACCATTGCAACACGTGGAATCTGGCTGATTGATTCGTCGCGAGATTTATTCTGTCCTTACACAAAGGGGATCATCGTCGTCGATTTATAAATAATGCATGCCGCGTACAAAGAACGGGACGTCGGTGCCGAACAAGTAAATGAGATCTTCGGAGCTTTCGAGGAGGTGGCCGGCTGGCAGTACGGAAGGATAAATCCTGAGAACTTCGACGTTCGATTAAATTCCCGTCGTCGAAGCAGCTCCGCTGTTTCCGAGTGGATGACGTTAAAAATATGAACCTCTCCGTTGCTTCCAGACGAACGGGTTCCGCGAGCTTCTTCACCCTTTAATCTCTCCTCGGATATGGTAATCGTAACGTGCAGCTCGACGATGGTGGTGGAGATACAACGTGACTAGCTTCATCGCGTTTCAAAGGGAATAATATTATCTCGGCTTTATTTAGATTTGTAGACCGTGGCTTTTTTATTCAGAATAAAATATTTGTAATGGTCGGTTAAAAAAATACGTTTCACATTCCTTTTATCACGTGGCGGTTGCAATGTGCATGAATCACGTGCGTTACATTTCCTGCGGTTGTCGACTTTTTTTTATAAATACGAAATCCGCAGTCTAGTAATTTGTTATTAAAATACTGCGGCCACTTTCTTCCACCCAGGCGAGCGTATCTGGTGAATTGGAAAAAATTCATTCCACGGCTCATTTACATATTTACTACCTGTACATACTTCGCAAACGTCCCTGCAGAAACTTGTTGATACTCGTGACGCAATTCCGTAAACATCGTCACTTGCACTTGTTGTGAAAATTTGATGAGAACCTCTCCTCGAGGTTCAATTGGAACTAATTTAAAACTTGTAGAATCAACCGTTCTTCTTTAGAACCGACGGGCAACTGCTCGATAAAAGTTGCCCACCGGCCACAGTAGTATTAATTAAAATCGATCAGCCGACTCGTTAACCTAATTTTTTTTTTAACACGTTTCGCCTGAAATATTAACCCCGAACACGGCGTGTTTCAGTTTCTCCAACGACTTTTTCATTGGTTATCGAATTTATATTATTTATGATCTATGAAGTTCAGCTTTTAAATTAATGGTATTATAAACGTGACTTCGTTTGAGGCACCCGAGCGAAATGACAAAGCGAGCAATTTCCACGTGAACGGTATGCCAGACGAAGTGACGAAATGGCATTTCCGGGGCAGGCATCGCCTCGACACGGATATGCACGCCGTCCTCGGCAACAGAATTGTTTCTCTACGGTGATACCCCACGCCACGAGTAAACGAATATCTTCCAGGACATAGTAGACCCTGGATCCCTTTCCTAGATCAGAGAATCAGATCACGATTAAATGAGAGAGAGAGAGAGAGAGAGAATAAATTTTTATAAAGTCTAAATTTATTTCTTATTATTTAAATCTAATATACATCATTTATTGAAGTTTAAA